AGAATTTTTTTATATGACTGTAGGTAAGTTGGTATTTAGATTGTTATAACAAAATTCCCATCACCTAGTGACACTGTAGTCATAACAGAGTGGAGTACATAGCTGAAGAAGAGGCTAGAGAAAATAAAACTAGAGGAGGAGAACTTGAAGAAAAATCATAGTACAGGGTTTAGTGGATTTTGCAGACCTCAACATGCTTCTTAATGTTTTGTTATAACATTAGGATGTTATATGTCATTCCCATGGTAATCAAAATATGTCACAAATATAAAAATGAGGGCAATAATGAAGAAAATGAGGGAATGCTGTGAAGACATACAGAAAACAGCAATAGCAGTTCTTTTCAGTAATTAAATGTATATTGATTCGATTCTTCAGTCAAAATACAGAGATTGCCAAAAGGGATTTTTAAAGAATGACCCAACTATGCTATGTACAAGATACTTTAGACCTAAAGACCCAAATGGGTTGATGGTAAAAGGATGGAAGAAGATAGTCCATGCAAATAGTAATCAAAAGAGAGCAGAAGTAGCTATACTAAAAGAAAAGTGACACTGAGTAAAAAAACTATTATAAGAGAAAGGGATAGCCGAAACCGGTTTGGCTCAGTGGATAGAGCGTTGGCCTGCAGACTGAAAGGTCCCAGGTTCGATCCCAGTCAAGGGCATGTACCTTGGTTGCAGGCACATCCCCAGTGGGAAGTGTGCAGGAGGCAGCTGGTCGATGTTTCTCTCTCATCAATGTTTCTAACTCTCTATCTCTCTCCTTTCCTCTCTGTAAAAACTCAATAAAATATATTTTTAAAAAAAAGAGAGAGAAAGGGATATATCAACCAAGAAATATATGAATTATAAACATATACACCAGACATCAGAAGCTCAAGATATATGAAACAATCTGATAGGACTGAAAGGAGAAATACTTGTACAATAATAATTGGATATTTCAATAATCATAATCCACATAACGATGATTTGGTCAGCAGTGGACCACATATATGACAGTGGTACACCTATATAATAAAAGGGTAATATGCAAATTGACCCT